CATGAAGGCTGGACGCCCCAGGGGGTGGGAATTTGAGGGTGGGGAGGTGGGAGTGGGGGGGTAGGCAGGGGTTACATCCGAAGAGAAGGAGGAGGGGTGAGGGGATAGGGGGTTCCTGGGTGGGTGGGGGATGGGGTAAGGGGACAACATATGAAATGTAAATAAAACATCCAATTTAAAAAAAAAAATTGTTCTTTTGACTCCAGGCAGAAAGCAGATTAGTACATTGTTCAGCCATTCCCAAAGAAGCTCCCTCCTGCAGCAGATGGGATCAAACAGAGACCCACAGCCAGACAATATGCAAAACACTAAGCCCATCAAATAAGATGTCTCCATCAAATCCCTCCTCCCAGGGCTCAAGGAACTCAGAGGAAGAGGAGGCAGAAAGAGTGTAAGAGCCAGAGGAGATGAAAGACACATCATTTAAATGGTATAAGTGCTATACTAAAATCTACTTTAAATGCTTTTTTTCAAAAATATTAACTGATTCTCTTTTTAATTTTTTTTTCATTTTTATTTTGTTACCATTTTGAGATAGTATTGCATGTAGCCCAGGCTGGCCTTAAACTCATTATAAAACCAAGGATAATGACTTTCCTTCTTGTCTCTACTTCTCAAATGCTAAAATTATAGGTATGTGTTACCACAAGCAATCAACTGATTCTCTTAAGTCTTCTGAAGAGAAGCATATAGATTGGAACAATTTTTTGTTTTGTTTTGATTTTTTGAGACAGAGTTTCTAAGTGTAGCCCTAGTTGTCCTGGAACTAGCTCTGTAGACCAGGCTGGCCTCAAACTCAGAGAACTGCCTGTCTCTACCTCCCAAGTGCTGAGTAAGATTAAAGGTATGAGCTGGGCAGTGGTGCCGCACACCTTTAATCCCAGCACTTGGGAGGCAGAGGCAGGTGGATTTCTGAGTTAGAGGCCAGCCTGGTCTACAGAGTGAGTTCCAGGACAGCCAGGGCTACACAGAGAAACCCTGTCTCAAAAAACCTAAAAAAAAAAAAAAAAGGAAAAAAATAATTAAAGGTATCAACCACCACTGTCTGGCATACCAAAATACTTTTATTTTTAAATTTGGGATTTATCTGTATCATAAAAAAGTGAGAGAAGGAGGAGGAAGAAGAAGAAGAGGAAGAGGAAAAGGAGGAGGGAGAAGAGGAAGAAGAAGAAGAGGAGGCTGGACACTATTAAGAAACACTGTGATGAGGTGAACAATATGTAAACTCCAAGTCTTCAACAGCTGAAAGCAGTGGTGCTGGGCTGAGGTAGAAGATGGTTACTAGGGAGCTGAGGTGTAACCTAGTGGATAAGCACCTCCTCACATGCACAAGCACAACTACAAGTAACCAAGCAAACAAACAAACAAACAAGGGCAAACACAACCACAATGAGTTAGGGCTGTAACGAGCAGAGCTTTCCCAGCCTACCTGGGGCCTTGCAGCTACAGTAGTGATGAGCTGCCTGCCACACACCAAAAAGAAAACCGTGGTACGGGAACCTGTACTAAGAACTAAACTTGAAGACTCTAAATTGAAAACTAAGAAGCAATTTATTCTGTTGAAAATCTGAAACTAGTAAGAATGCCTGAGGAGATCCATCATTACAAAGATGATTTGCTTAACACGTTGCGAAGATAATGATCCATCTGCAGTAGAGGGGAAGATGGAAGTAGCACAACCACAACCCAGAGAGAAACTCCAGAAAAAGAATGAGTCCAGTCTCAGTGAAACAAACACTCACCTGTTAACTCCCTGTCACAGTTCAGGTAGAATCCATCTTTTAAACTGACTTATAATAATGTACATTAAAAAAAAACAAGCCTACAGGTTTATTCTAATGAACTGGGTAAGTCCCTGGAAGACTAAACATTTCATAGTTAAGACAAACATGAAACGGGAATCTTTGGCAGGAACAAGCTTTCAAAGCTTTCTAACTTCTACCTACAGTTAAACTACACTATGATATGCTTTCAACTATATACTGTGCACAAAATCCCAAGTATAGATCACAAGGAATGAATATATAGATAGTAAAATTATAAATCTTTAAAGCTTGGAAGGTAACAATTACATATTTTTTATGCTAAATTTTTTTTGGTTTTTTAAAAATAGAGGATTAGGGTTAGAAAAAATTAGATAAGAAAATGAAATCCATAAATGTCCTTGGGAATATTCAACTATAACCAAAGTGAGTTTTCAAATACTGTTCTCCTTCAATGTAACAGTTATATATTATAAATAACATTACATTATATAACATATATAAGTATAACACATAATATTTATGTGTATTTATACATATGAAGTGATAACATATTATAATATAATATAAATGTATAATAATAAATATAACATCATATAATATAAATATGACAACCCCTTCATTTTTTTTTTTGATGTATTTACTTATTTTATGAGTACACTGAAGCTGCATGCCTCCAGACACACCAGAAGAGGGCACCGGATCCCATTACAGATGGTTGTGAGCCACCATGTGGTTGCTGGGAATTGAACTCAGGACCTCTGGAAGAGCATCAGTGCTCTTAACCACTGAGCCATCTCTCCAGCCCCAAAGATTTATTCATTTTTTTATGTATATGAGTACACTGTAGCTGTCTTCAAGACACACCAGAAGAGGGCACCAGATTCCATTACAGATGGTCATAAGCCACCATGTGGTTGCTGGGAATTGAACTCAGGACCTCTAGAAGAGCAGCCAGTGCTCTTAACCACTGAGCCATCTCTCCAGCCCCTGACAACCCCTTCAGAATAACACTTTCTTTTACGTCTTCTATCAGTTCATTATTTTACTTATCTGGATAGACCTCTAAGTCTTGTAAGAAGAATAAAAATGAGAAACCAAAGCCCGATGCACAGGAATCTAGATGACACAGGTTCACAGCAGGAACAAATACAAGTAGTTAGAAGACAAAACATACTCAAATTTCCAGTTATGACTGCTCTCAATCAGAAAATTCTCAAAAAGAAACTAAGCTTCAAACTGTGTTACCTGACAATGAGCAAAAATAATACAACATTCAAGAAAAAAAAAAAAGAAAATATGCTGTAAGTTCCTCAGCTCATTTTACCAAACAACGAATTTTTAAAGTCTCTTCAAATTCATTTTCTAGTATATATATTTTATTAATTCTGTATCATTACCAACTTCCTCAGCAAAACTTAGCCATAAAATGAGTCCTCATAATAGACTACAGTGAATTTTAAACTGATGGCTAGTGGCAAAGAAAGCAGTAAAAAGGGGAAGTAGCTCCCTAAGAAAAGCTGAAAACAAACAAAACAAAGCTGCTTGCTTTACCAAAGCACTTATGCACTGGGACAGATGCAATGAGATGGAATCATCTGAAATTGTTATTTTCAGTAATTCAAAATGGCTTTAAATAATTGATAATTTCATATAGCTTGATCTAATAGTCTCAGTCTTGGTTTTTATTTGTAAAAGGTGAAATAAATCTGGTATTAATGGCTAGTACACTGCCTGACAGAGACAAGTGTATAAGTTCACAAGCTGAAAAGACTTTAAATTATGTAAATGTTCAGAAAACTCAATGTTCTAATCACAAAAAGGACAAAGGTCTTTTAAAGAGTACACGTGAGCTGAGTGTGGTGTTGCATACCTGTAATTCCAACACACAGGAGATAGAAGCAGGAAGATCAACAGTTCAAGACCAGCCTTGGACTATAGAAGTATCATTAGGACAGCCTGATCTTAGTACAGCTGGGACAATCACCAGCACGTGCCTCACACACATACTCTTTATGCACAAAAAGTGTATGTGAAAAGACCTAGCTGAGTGCAAAGCTTAAAAGATACCTCCTTGCCAAGATGGTCTACCAATCCAAACACACTGCAGGTTCCTACACTGACTTCTTTGCCCTGCTACTCTGAATCCTGGAATCATTACTCCTCCACCTCTGGGCCAAAGTCAAACCTGATCTTAGGTCAATTTTAAATGTTACCATCTCTATTACAATGTCAGCTCCCTCTGCTTTTTGTAATTACGCTTTTTTCTGAATTCCAAGTCCATATTTCTTACAGGGTATCAAATATGCTTCATTTTTTACCTATCTGTTTATATCTGTTAAGTGAGAAGTTTTGGTAAAAGGGAAAACTGGAGTAAGAATCTGCACAAGAATAAAAAATAAATAAAGGGGTTTTAGGGAAAATTCCAGAGAACCATATATACGATCCTCTGCAAAGAGAGGTCAACAGGGAAACACACTGACCACACATGCCCTGGCTCTGTAGGAACCAGCAGCTGAGGAGATCTAGCAAAGACTCAGTTTTACCTATGAATCATGTCCCAGCTAAATACCCAAGACCATAAAAAACAACAATCTGATTCATATGTTGAGGAAAAGGAGTCAACATGAACTTTTGATTTCTGCTGCCCTGTTATTTCTGCCACTGACTCAGACCAAGTAAATGAAGATAATAACCATGCAGTTGTTCAGCCAGGTAGCCACCTCCTAAGGAAGGTCCTCAGACTCAAGGATAAGGGAACAAAACAAAGCTGTCGATAAGGTCTACATGGACACTGCCAGAGCATGCCACTGCCGGCTAACAAGTCTCATCATACAAAGTGAGTACACAGTTAATACAAACTGGATTAAAATATACCCCATCTCCTCAAATTTCAAAGACTGCCAGTAAATAAAGGGCTAAACCTACATGATAGAGAGCCATAGGGTTAAATTAAGACTGCTGAGAAGATCCAAAGAACTGGATTTTAGCTCATATAAAAGTAATAATTGACAATTTCAAATATGATCTAGACATATTTAACATTATGTCATTCAAGTTATGTCTAAATTAAAGATGCTTTTCTTTATAAAGGAAGAGACTAAATTAATACTAAGATCCTTTGTAACCCTCAGTCTTATATGTAAATGAATATTACACATTACCATATCAAAACACATACAGGTAATAAAGAACAGAGATTAGTTCTAGGGATGTTTCTGGCTATGTAAAGCACAGTGATCTTTCTACAGCTCCTGCTCTCTCCCAGGCTGTATGACCAGCACACCAGGTAGGAAGCTGGCCAGACTCATCCATCATTTTTCAAATACTTCACTGTGACACATACCTCCATTTTTAGTTTTAGAATAGTTTTTATTTGAAAAACAGGTTCCACCAACAGGAACTTTTCAACTATTCAACAGATCATTTTAACTTCAGGTCTCTTACTGATCTTAAAACTTAGACTTTCATTTCTTTGTTTGTCTGTTTATTATTTGCTTCTATTATGTTTATTGGGGCAGTAGAGTGGGAGGGAGGGCCTGTCCATCATGGCTCATGTGTGGAGGTCAGAGGACAAGTTTTGGAAATGTGTTCTTTCCTTTTACCATATGGATTCCAGGAGTCAGCTCAGGTTCTCAGACTTGGCCCCAGTGCCTTTACTTACTGAGCTCTCTCTCAGCTCTCAAAAGTAGGATTATACTTTTCAACTTCTTACATCTATCCCAGAGACTTTCGAGGAAACAACAAAATTGAAAGTCTGTTTCCATCACAGATTCATCAAAATGACTGACACTCAGTGGACAGCACATGATGAAAGAACTACATCTGCCCAAGAGTATCAATGTTTCAGTAATTCTTCCAATGGTAACTAACACTCACTCTAGGCAGAGTATCTAAATCTGTGATTAGTCAAAACACTTTCTACTAGAAATAGTACTCGCCTCACAGGAGGGAGAAAATACATATTCAGGGGTAAATTTTAATTTCAATCAAGTAAGCTAATTTTACCCTCTGAAGTTCAAATAAGAGTACAGGTCACAGATACCAACAGGGGAGAAAACTAAACCAGTGGAAAGAAACTTAAATATGTACTGTAAAGAAGTCAAATTTAGCGTCTATATCAAATACTGTGATAAATACAACTTCTCTATGTTGTTATAAGGTAAGCTTCAGTTTTTACAAACCTGTGGATTATCCATGTACCATACAAAGCTGTCTTCTCTGGTATCCAGGATGAAATACCGTCGAAGAAATTTCCCGCTGTTCTCATTTTCTTCAATGTCTAGAAAACCACAGATGCGATTCTGTCGATCCACATAAGGCATTTCTAGGCTTGAACATTACACTGTAAAATGAAAACATTAACAGTAAGCTCCTAGAAAGAAGTGAACGTCAAGATACACTGCAGTCTATTCCACAAGCAGCAAAGTTTCCACTGCAGTAGTTAATAGGAGCTCATACCAATCTCTGCACACTTTAGGACTGAAGCTTGCCACAAACGTACACAAAATCCAACTTCAAACTGGTGAAGACATAGAGACATTCTGCTCAGCGAAATAACTCACTTTGATATCCCCCTAATATAAAACCAAGTGAAATAAAAATTGGCCATTCAAATTTTAATCCTCATAAATCAAGATGATCCACTTTTTATTTCATGGATTTGATTTTTTTTTGTTGTGTTTTGTTTTGTTTTGTTTTGTTTTGTTTTGTTTTGTTTTGTTTTTTGAGACAGGGTTTCTCTGTGTAGTCCTGGCTGTCCTGGAACTCACTCTGTAGACCAGGCTGGCCTCGAACTCAGAAATCCGCCTGCCTCTGTCTCCTAAGTGCTGGGACTAAAAGGCATGCGACGCCACTACCTGGCTTTGGATTTACATTTTTTAAAAAGATTTATTTTCTGTTTGTTTGTTTGTTTTAAGACAAGGTCACAATATATAACCCTGGATGGCCTAAAACTCACTCTGGAGACCAGGCTCACCTCTAACTCACAGAGATCCTCATGCTTCTGCCTCCTCAGTGCTGGAATTAAAGTCATGTCACCATGCCTGGCTGATTTATTTTACTTTTAATTAGGTAGGGTGTGTGTGTGTGTGTGTGTGTGTATTAGGGTGTGCACATGCAAGTGTAGGTACTAAGTTCAGCAGAGAATGCCAGATACCCTGAGCTGCCTGATAGAAGAGGTTATGAGTGCTAGGATTCTAATTTGGGTCCTCTGCAAGAACAGTATGCACTTAAACCTCTTAAGCCATCTCTCCAATCCCTTAGAGCATTTTAAAATTCACACAATAGCTAACATTTACTGACCACTACAGTACTCTAGACTCGGTAGCAGGTTCTCTTCTAAGCATAATCAATCTTCAAAGCAATCCTATGAGTAGGCATCAGCATCTCCATTTCTCAGAAGTCAACATTGACAAGGGAAGTGAGCTTCCTAACTAAGACAGCTGGAAGGCCAGATGTAGTGATGCACCTTCAATCCTAGTGCAGGGGCCACTGTGAATTCCAGGCCTGTCTGGCCTACATAGAGAGTTTCAGGATAGCCAGGGCTACATGGAGAGACCCTGTCTCAAAAATAAACAAATAAAAAGACAGCAGAAAAATAGCAAATGCTTAAACACAGATTCCTAGGCACTAGACTCCTAACAAGTACTCTTTATGTTGTACAAAATAAAATGAATCAGAATAAACAGCTAAACAAAAACAAAGGAGGACCAGGAAGACATTCAAACATCACCCGTGAAACCTAAGATTTTCACCTAAGAAAAGATTTTATATAAATCTGATCAAATTACTAGATTCTCCTATAGTCAACTACTAATTACAAGAAACATAGAAGACAGAGGAAGATACTGAACTGTTCCACGAGAATCCAATTAGCAAAAGCCAAACTGGGAACAAAAGGACACACGACCCAGTTTCTTCAGAAGGTAAAGAGGAACTAAAGATTTAATCTGTTAGAGGGGCTCAGTAGTTAACAGCACTGGCTACTCCAGAAGACCAGAGTTCAATTCCCAGCGCCCACATGAGACTGTTTTTAACTCCAGTTCCAGGGGATCTGATCCCCTTCAACCTCTACTGTGCACTGCATACTCATGGTGTACATACATAAAAGCAGGCAAAACACCCACACAAATAAAATAAAAAATAAATCTTTAAAAGTGTTACAGCATACATTCACTCAGCATGTGCAAGAAAGGACCTGGATCCTACCACCACCAGGGCAAAAAATAAAGAAAAAGAAGCCACAAACAGTGGGGAAACATAGAGTATACCTCAATCAGATAACTGATATATAAGACCAGAATTATTTATTACAATTCAATAAGACAGCAGTAAAATGGCCAAAAAGCTTAGCAGATCAGCTAGCACAGATGTAAAATAGTAATGCTCTTCATTATTCAAGAGGTAAGACGGATTTCTAAAAACAATTCTGAAATGTTCTAGATGCCTACTAGGGCAGCCAAAAAAAAAAAAAAAAAAAAACTAATACCTACTGTTGGCGATGTAGAACAAGTGAACTTTTATATATACTGCTGGGGTGCAAAATAGTTTACCAACTCTGAAAAACAAATTAGCAACATCTTCTAATAATGGTTTTTGTTGGTTTGTAGTTACGTTTGGTTTGGTTTTGGTTTTTTTGAGAGTTTTTCTGTATAGCCCTGGCTGCCCTGGAATTCACTCTGTAGACCAGGCTGGCCTCGAACTCAAATATTTGCCTGCCTCCACTTCCTGAGTTGCTTCTAATAATGTTAAAAATACCTATACAACACAAACCAGAAACTCGATTTCTCGATATTTATCCAAATCAAATGAAGGTCTGCTCACTCAAAATCCTGTAAACAACCATTTACAGCAACTTTACTCCTAAGTATCAAGAATCAGAAAAAATAAAAATAAATAAATAAATAAATAAATTTAAAAAAAAAAAAGAATCAGAGCAACCCAACTGACCGGCTGCTGAGTGAGCACATCCTCTAGCCACTGCAATGGAGCTTTATTTGGAAAGGGGTGAAGTACTGTTGCATAGACCAACAGAAACCTCATCTGTGCTAAGTGACAGAAGGCAGACTAAACAGGCCGTGGAGACAGAACAGGTGAAGGAAGAGACTGACTTGAAAGTGGTAAATTTAAGGTGTAATAGAGTGTTCAATACCTTGATTGTGGTAAAATATAAACTAGTGCTTATCAAAGCTATAAGGCCTACTTGCTACAGGACATAGAAATCAAGTTGAGGGTTGAGTTGTAGAATCCTTCCCAGCCGGCTTGAGTTCACAGTGCTGAAAGGTGCTGTAAAGCATACTAAGGAAGAAAACAGTAAATGATTTCACCCACTTGTAGACATGTGTACTACAACACTGACCCACAAGGCAAGATATGGCCACCTGGAGCAACAGTAGCCAACTACTTTAGGGATAACCAACAACTCTGGGATTGGATTAGAGGCCTGCTCCACAGGAAGGAATACATAGCTGATATTATAAACTGGTGAAAGCCTATTACTGGGGAGGCCAGAGATCCAAGGGGAGAACTTACTACCACTGTTCTCCTAAATGGACATGTTTTCAAGCTACCATAAACTTATAGACTAAAGCCACTGAAAGCCTTCCTTTTTGAAGAGGCAATAATAAATGCAGAGACTCATATCTAGTCAAAAGGCCGAGAAATAGCGACTGTTCAAGAGTTCAGTCCACATTTGCCGTCAGACCACCTCTCAAGGCCCATTGAAGACGTAGGGGTGAAAGGAATTAAAAGAACTGGAGGAAGGAGGGCAGTGCCACAAAATACTGCCATCCAGACATGACATTGTCATTGCAATTATGAACAGCAGCTATGGATATCTTCACAAGATTGGGCCCTACAACATACAGACAGAGGATGTATGTATGGGGCTCCATCCTTTCCTGACAAGCTATTGTCTGATAATGTTTGCTCTAATGGTACAGCCTCTGGGGGACTAGTTGGGGAGAATAATAAGTACAAAAAGAGAAAAAGGTGGATCTCATATAAAATATATATATATGTATATATATATATATATATGAAGCTATAAAAGACAAAGAAAAATATATAACAAGAATAAATTACATACAAAATAAAAAAGAGCAAAGCAGCTGCCCCACCATGGTAGAAAAGATCACAGTACTTGGACCAAGGAAAGAACTACAAAGGACTTAAAAGATTTTTTTTGAGGGGCATATCTTAATTGTGGCAGTTACACAGTCATACACACATCAAAATTCACAGAATTGTTCACTAAAATGGGTAAAACTGATTGCATGTATATAACATTTCAGTTATCCTGAGCTTAAACAAATAGCGCCATATATACTCAACAAAACAGCCAAAATGAAGCAAACTAGCAATACAATGTATCATCAAGAACATAAAAGATGCATGATTTATTTATACACTGTTGATAGGAAATATTAAATAGTAAGCCACTTCAGACATAGTTCTACCATGTGGCCCACCCAATCCCATCCCACAGATCAGCACAAGAGAAATGAAAATATGTAAGAACAGAAAGACCGTAAATAACAGAGACAAAGATGCCCAGGAGTAGGTGAATAGACAATAAATGTAGCATAGCACAATGGAATATTAGTTTACAGTATAAAGTAATTAGTAACATGCAACAATTTGAATGAATTTCAAAATCATTATTATTCTAAGTAGAAAAAAACAGGAACAAAAAGCTGCACAATTTACAACACAATTCAAGTTGTTTGGAACTAAGCAAAAGGAGAATTAACATCAAAAAGCAAGTTGAAAGATTAGTAGCAATCCTGAGCCCGGTGTGGTGGTGCTTGCCTCTTTTAATCCCAGCATTGGGAGGGAGAGGTGGGCAGATCTCTGAACTCAAGACTAATCTCACCTACACAGTGAGTTCCAGGACAGCCAAGGATATGAGAGAGAGACTGTTTCAAAAAACCAAACTAAACAAACAAGTTAGTAGCAATTTAAAGAAAGCCCTGATAAATAACTAAGAATAATTTTTAAAGAATTTGAATGGCAAAATTTAACATGTATAACCAAAGCCAATAGGAACTTATTCCACAAAGGATTACCTTCCTTAGCCAAGAAATATCAAGAATAATATATCAAAAGCTCAAAAAAAGAAAAAAAAAAAGAAAACAAAACAACAACAAAAGAGTCAAAGGCATGGATACTGCATTGAAAAAGATATAAGAAGACTTTGTGTGTGTTTCCTCACAGAAAAGCAATACAGCCTAAGAGCCTAAAAGAGGACAAACAGAAAACAAGGGAAATCCCTGTACAATATATCTGAATCTGAAATTCTATGAACCCTAGATCTTTGAAAACATGACAGCAACAACAAGTCAT